GGTCGAGGAGCGTGGCGAGGTGGTCGCGGCGCTCGTGGCGGCACAGTACTAGCCCAACAGCGGGGCGACCGCCCTCTCCAGGTAGGTGTGCCTCTCATTGGCCGTCGCGAAGCCGTCCCACTCGTAGAATGGAACGCTGATCACCCTCCAGCCAGCCGCCGCGAGGAGGCGCCGCTTGAGCAGCGTTGGCCCATTGGGTTTGCGCACGCCCCGGCCGTCGGGCAGCAGGAAGTGAGTCGGGCCGTCCACCTCGACAGCGACGCGTGAAGAGGGCAGCGCCAGGTCGAGCGAGTAGCCGGTGCGCGGCTCGAGATGCTCCTCCTCGAAACCGTGCTGGACGGCGGCGAGGGCAGCCGCGACGGAGCGTTGGAATTCAGAGATCGTCACTTGCGTGACTTGCATAGCGTCGCAGCAGAGCTTGCGATGGGACTCGGAGAGGAGGTGCTGCTGCCCGTCTGCTCCTCGCTCAAGGGAGAGCCAGAGCTGCCACTGGTGCAGCTGAGAGCGGTCCCCGACGCCCCACCTCGACGGATCCTGCGCGAGCGAGTCGCTGATCACGCGCGAGCAATCGGCAAGTAGGACCTGATGGTAGTGACCCGCCGTCGCGTACGCCCACACCGTGTTGGCCAGGTTCTGAGGGGTGAAGCCAGCCAGCCCGCTCCGCACCGCCGCCTCCGCCACAGCCGCGTACAGCGCGTCCGCAGCCACGCCCGCCGTCGCATACGCCCACACCGTGTTGGCCAGGGCCTGAGGGTTGAAGCCAGCCAGCCCGCCGCGCACCGCCGCCTCCGCCACCGCCGCGTACAGCGCGTCCGCAGCCACGCGCGCCGTCGCATACGCCCACACCGTGTTGGCCAGGGCCTGAGGGTTGAAGCCAGCCAGCCCGCCGCGCACCGCCTCCTCCGCCACCGCCGCGTACAGCGCGTCCGCAGCCACGCCCGCCGTCGCATACGCCCACACAGTGTTGGCCAGGTTCTGAGGCTTGAAGCCAGCCAGCCCGCCGCGCACCGCCTCCTCCGCCACCGCCGCGTACAGCGCGTCCGCAGCCACGCCCGCCGTCGCATACGCCCACACAGTGTTGGCCAGGTCCTGAGGGTTGAAGCCAGCCAGCCCGCTCCGCACCGCCGCCTCCGCCACCGCCGCGTACAGCGCGTCCGCAGCCACACCCGCCGTCGCATACGCCCACACCGTGTTGGCCAGATTCTGAGGCTTGAAGCCAGCCAGCCCGCCGTGCACCGCCTCCTCCGCCACCGCCGCGTACAGCGCGTCTGCAGCCACGCCCGCCGTCGCATACGCCCACACCGTGTTGGCCAGGTCCTGAGGGTTGAAGCCAGCCAGCCCGCCGCGCACCGCCTCCTCTGCCACCGCCGCGTACAGCGCGTCCGCAGCCACGCCCGCCGTCGCAAACGCCCACACCGTGTTGGCCAGGTTCTGAGGCTTGAAGCCAGCCAGCCCGCCGTGCACCGCCTCCTCCGCCACCGCCGCGTACAGCGCGTCCGCAGCCACACCCGCCGTCGCATACGCCCACACCGTGTTGGCCAGGTTCTGAGGCATAAAGCCAGCCAGCCCGCCGTGCACCGCCGCCTCCGCCACCGCCGCGTACAGCGCGTCTGCAGCCACGCCCGCCGTCGCATACGCCCACACCGTGTTGGCCAGGTTCTGAGGCGTAAAGCCAGCCAGCCCGCCGTGCACCGCCTCCTCCGCTACCGCTGCGTACAGCGCGTCCGCAGCCACACCCGCCGTCGCATACGCCCACACCGTGTTGGCCAGGTTCTGAGGCTTGAAGCCAGCCAGCCCGCCGCGCACCGCCTCCTCCGCCACCGCCGCGTACAGCGCGTCCGCAGCCACGCCCGCCGTCGCATACGCCCACACCGTGTTGGCCAGGTTCTGAGGCTTGAAGCCAGCCAGCCCGCTCCGCACCGCCGCCTCCGCCACAGCCGCGTACAGCGCGTCCGCAGCCACGCCCGCCGTCGCATACGCCCACACCGTGTTGGCCAAGGCCTGAGGGGTGAAGCCAGCCAGCCCGCTCCGCACCGCCGCCTCCGCCACCGCCGCGTACAGCGCGTCCGCAGCCACGCCCGCCGTCGCATACGCCCACACCGTGTTGGCCAGGTTCTGAGGCTTGAAGCCAGCCAGCCCGCTCCGCACCGCCGCCTCCGCCACAGCCGCGTACAGCGCGTCCGCAGCCACGCCCGCCGTCGCATACGCCCACACCGTGTTGGCCAGGTTTTGAGGGCTGAAGCCAGCCAGCCCGCCGCGCACCGCCTCCTCCGCCACCGCCGCGTACAGCGCGTCCGCAGCCACGCCCGCCGTCGCATACGCCCACACCGTGTTGGCCAGGTCCTGCGGGTTGAAGCCAACCAGCCCGCTCCGCACCGCCGCCTCCGCCACCGCCGCGTACAGCGCGTCCGCAGCCACGCCCGTCGTCGCATACGCCCACACCGTGTTGGCCAGGGCCTGAGGCTTGAAGCCAGCCAGCCCGCCGCGCACCGCCGCCTCCGCCACCGCCGCGTACAGCGCGTCCGCAGCCACGCCCGCCGTCGCATACGCCCACACCGTGTTGGCCAGGTTCTGAGGGTTGAAGCCAGCCAGCCCGCCGCGCACCGCCGCCTCCGCCACCGCCTCGTAGAGCGCGTGCACCAGCCTCGATCGCAGGCCGCACTTGGCAACGCCGTGAGCTATATTCGCCATTGATCTTGCATTGCACGACGGGACGAGGTCGAGCGTGCGCCGCACCAGCTGCTCAAGCCGCTCCTCGTGCCGCCGCTCGATGCGCTGCTTGCCCAGTTTGTTCCACAGGTTCGCAGCGTGGATGTGGTTCAATCTCGCGCTGTGGGCAGCAAAGAGCGCAAGGAGCTCGTCGGCGCCGCTGGCATGCGAGATATGGCCACTGATCTCCTTAGCATTGAGCTGACCACCGGCAGCAGAGGTGTGCCTCTCGTCGCGCAATCCCGCACCACGCATCGGCGGACTCGACCGGCGGTCGCTGTGCTGAGGCTGCCCCTCGCCGCGGCGGTCGCACCGGTCATGGTCGCGCCTGGGATCGTGGGACCGATCATCGCGCCGATCGCACAAGTCGTGCTCGCGCTCGCCTATGCTTGGTCGGTCGTTGCAGCCGCGCCGCTCGACGTGCCGCCCGTCATGATGCGGCCATCGTTCGCCTCGCAATTGCTCATCGCGCCATCGCTCAGCGTGCCATCGCTGCTCGCGACCACTGCGCCAAGAATCGTTGTAGCCGCGCCGCTCCTCGTGCCGCCCGTCATGGTGCCGCCATTGCTCGCCTTGCCAACGCTTGTCGCGCCGTCGCGGCTCATCCCGCCGCGGCTCATCGCGCGATCGCGACCGCCGTCGCGACTCGTCCCGCCATCGCCGCCCTTCGCGTTCGTACTCGGCGCGCCGTTGCTCATCACGCCAGCGACGCTCCTCGCCCCGATGGGACATATATATATCTCGAGCGCCGCGCTACGGGGCAAGGACCGCGTCTGTTCACAGCCTTCCTTATGTGAAGAAATTACGTCGTAAGGCGCTGTGCGCTGGTCTGTGAGAGGTTGAGGTGCGAGCCCTGGAGGCCCTGTTCACATAAACGCACAAGCCCGGGCCCAAAATCGCACACAGACAGTCAGACATGCAAGTGAGTGAGTGAGTATTCTTGATACGAAACCACGACGACACACACCAGAGAGAGAGATTTTTAGCAATACCAAACAACTCTAACACTCACACGTAATTTGGGGCCTGGAGCCCTGTTCACGCGCGCGCGAGACGTGCAGACAGGGTTGCCAGGTGAGAGCGAATGGCGCGGTTCACGCCTCGCACAACAGAGAGAGAGATGCGCTCTGCATGGTGGGACATAAAAGAGAGCGAGTACTTGGGCGAGTAGGCCGTGCGGTCAACGCTGCCGCGCGCGACTTTGCGCGCGAGGTCACACCAGTCGACTCGCATCGGTTGCCTCCATGAACGGCGGAGCTATTCTCGCGTCCACACCACACCTGGCTCCAACGTGGACACGCCCATAGCTGGGGACACTACTAGGTCACGCATGGCATCACAGAAGTTTTATCTCTGGGCCCCGAAAGGCATCTCTAGCAGCGTCGTTACGCATGCTCCCTCCCCTCCTGCGCATGCGCCTCACGTCTCGCCAGAGCATAAGCCCTTGGCGTGTGGCGAGACGAGTTTTTCGCAATCGCAGCGAGCAGCAAGCCGCCCGCCGCAAACAGCCGGAGGCATCGCCACGGCACTGACTGCGCCGCGCTCCCGCACCCGCCGACGAAGCTCCCCCCGCGGAAGACCGCGCGTAGCGACGCCTTCACGATCGAGATGAGCGCGCTCGAGGCTCGCCCACCTACTGCCCCTGAGAGTTGGTTATGAGTGGGATCAGCTCCCCCCCTTGGGATCGAAGCCGCCACAACCTCACACCCAACACCACAGGTCTGCTGTGATGAGAGGAGCACTTGGAGCACTTGGAGTGCAGTCGGCAACCGCACACCCAGGGCCGGGGAGCTGAGAAGCGCACCCAGCGGGCCGGATGATTGGCATCGGGTTGCGGGCAAGAGAGCCCTAGCCCAGGGGGTGCGCGTTCGCAGGGAAAGGGCCGTAAAGTAAACACGGGTCTCCGAGGGTTAGTCCGCGCTCCAGGTTTCCCCTAGCAGCGGAGCGCCCCCTCTACTCGGAGCTAATAAACACCAGACACGCACACGACGTACATCCTCACTCGACGTCACCCCTCGAGGCTTCCCCGTCTGGCCTCCCCCCCTCGGTCTGGAGGGGCCCTCTTATCCCCTCGGTCCTCCCCCCACTCGCTTTCCGCTGGTTGGGCAACGGATGCGGGGCCCGACCCCCCCTCCTAGCCTTTTTCGGCCGCGGCCCCGCCGCCGTCTCGCCCACTCTGCCTGCTCCTGTTGACTCCACCTCCGGTGGTCCCATGCCCAACTCCTCGGGAGAGAGGGCGGCGAGTAAAATTCTTGTGCACTGGGCCCCCTGTACTGGGCTCTGCAGCGCCGATGGCGGTCTCGTACCGCTTCGCGGTGCTGCGCTTCGACGACCGCAACCGCTACGGCCAGGATGGCGTGCCGGGAACCTTCCTCTTCGCGGGCGGGGAGAGCGTGATCGTGCGCGTGAAGCCCGCCACGCAGGCAAAGGCGGGCAAGCGCAACCGATTCGCAAAGGTGGCGGCGCTGTCGTCGTCCAACGAGGGGGAGGCGGCGCTGATCGAGCTGCTCGGCCCGGTCGGCGAGTACGCCTCCGAGCTCGAAGCCTACCAGCTCCACTTTGGCGTCAAGCCGTGCCGCTACCCGCAAAAGGAGGAGTGGGCGCTGACGGGGCTGCTCGGAGGCGGCGATGGAGGCTCGCTGCCGCCGTGCGAGGCGTGGCGGCGCGACTGCTCCCACCTGCACGTCGTCTCGGTCGACAACGCCTCGACGCGCGACATTGACGACGCCCTCTCGATCGAAGCATCTGCCGACGGAGGCGTCGCTCGCACGTGGCGTCTCTCGCCTGAGCCTTCGCTGAACCTGCCACGAAGCTTCCCTGCAGGCGTCGAGCTGGGGATCCACGTGGCGGACGTGGCGGCCCACATCTCTCCCGCCTCGCCTCTCTTCCGGTGGGCGCTGGAGCGGGCGGGGGCGCACGGACCGCCGCGGCGTGACCGCTTCCGCAGCGGCCAGCCCCTTCCTTCACTGCTTCCAGGCGGGGTCCGCGTACCACGGCGGCATCGCCGCGTCGGCGGCAGAGGCGGAGGCGGACCCGCTCCTCCGAGGAGGGTCTGTTCCGATGCTGCCTCCCGACCTCGCCCACGACATGCTATCG